TAACTAAGTTACAGGTCAAGATTGATTTAATAGCTTTTATGGTGGATATGTGATTATTTTATAGATTGTTGTATTTGTAAAAAAAATTGTTATAAAAAAAATATATTACTGGTTAGCGGAGTGTGTCATGTGGGTAAATATGTGATATCAATTTAAATATTATAAGTTATTTGAATTTTTATTGAAAGAGATAATATTTTATAAATATTATAACTTTAGCATGTATTATTTGTTTTTCAGAAAAGATGGATTTAATCTTAATATATAATAATTAATTTAAAAATATTATTTTATCATGGAACAAAAAAAAGAATATAGAATATACTCTCTTCGGTATTATATATAGAGGGGTGGGGGGGTGTTAATCATATTGTCTTTCTCTTAACTCGAAAAATAAATAAATAAAATTGTAATGCTACCAAGTTCATCTAATAATAATTCAATTATTTTAGTTATCAGCAACATTATTATATATTAAAAATATATTTGATTAAAGTGATGAAAATAAAACCATGAAATAAACATTTTTTCTTAGACCGTCTCTAAATGAATTTTTATTATTTTAAAATAGAAGGTATAGGTAAAAATATTTTTATTATCTTTGTTATCTTGGTTTTTTATTTTAAATTAGTAAACGAATGCAATATAATTATTATCTTTTATCATTTGTAATAAAAAAAAATGGCATTCTTCTTTTAAAAGAAATAATTTTCTTTTTTTTTAATGAGTGGATTAGTAGCAAAGGTCATATGAAGTTTCCTAAAAAAAAAAACAATGGAAAACATTTTTGAAAGTTCTGAGAATTAACCTCTGATATATATAAAAAATAATTATTTGAATAAAAAATAAAAAGGCATAACTGGCCACGATAGTCAGATAAGAGACAGAAGGCCCTGTTGAAACGCTGACATTTTCTTACTTCCACCACAAAGAAAAAATATACCGCGTAGCGCCGCCGCCACACAAGAACATAGCCATGGATGCGGAGGATGATTGGAAATCATCTTCAGGAGAAGTCACCGATACTGACCAAATCAACGATGAAGACTTTTACTCCACGTCTGCTTGTCTATCCAAACTGCAATTCAGGCAAGATACCAGCACCTACAAAAAATCTGATTTTGTTAACAAAAATTTAAAAACTTGATTGTTTATGCAGTTTAATGAAGTGAGTTTTTGTTTTAAAGTTCTAAAGATTGATTTTTTTTTTTACTAGGAGTGATGTTTCCAAGGCTAAATGGAATGTTGAGATGGGAATGGCTGAAGTTATTGAAAAGAAGGGGAAAATGTGGATTGCTACTGGGATTGTTCGTAATGGCAAGACATTTTGCTTGATTGAGGAGACATTGTAAGTGATTAAAGAATGGGAAAAAAAGTATCTTTGAAGTTTTATTCGTGCCTCTTATAGTCATATAGTGGGTATAATCCATTTGACTGTAAATATTATTGCTTTTAAAACCTGGTTAGGCACACCCTTTAAGCTTAATTTTAAGATGAAAATGGCTAATTTTACTGAAAATCAGTACCTGAAAAATTAAAACTGCAGGATTTGTGGGAGTTTCCGGTTGAAATCAATAATTCAATGGTTGAGTTTTTTTAGAAGTGATTCCAAGGAAGAATCTTTGGTAAAGACTGTTCTCTTAGGGATTATTTTATAGATAGATGGATGTGATAAGTGAAGGCTTGAAAGTTTAGTTCTTTTTTTGCAACAGTCAACGAAACAAAACAAGTTGTATGTTTATAAGTATGGTTTGGAAGGACAAAAACACATGAATTCAGTAATTGTCTTAGTTTTCTTAGATTATCTTATTGGTGAATAACCTTTTCTGTTATAGGTTTTTGGCCGAAATTGGGGCATTGCTTGTTATGGATGACAATGATGAGTGTCTTGCATTGAAAGACATATACAAGAAGATTTCTGAAGAAACGAATGGGTGCAGCTGGGAGCTTTTTGAGGTATATAAACACTTGAAGTCTCTTGGTTATGTTGTTGGGCGTCATGGTGTTCCTTGGAGTATGAAGGGTGTTGAGAATAACAGCAAACCTTGTTCTTCTCAAGGGACTATTCAAAACAACAGGGTTGAAGGTGTTGAAGAGAACAGCATTACTTGCGCTGTGCAGATGCTCAGTAATTTGCAAGTTGATGAGCTGAGGCTAAATTTTGACGTTTATCTTCCAAATAGCAAGTTTAGAAAGTCTTCACCCGGTGATCCAGCCTTTCTGCTATGCTTAGTTAGGTAAGCATGATAGTAAAACCTGCATAATTTGAAACCCTTTTCCTTAGAGGTGATTGATTGTTGAATTTCTTTGATCACTTTTTTTTTTTGTCCTTCTCTCATATTACTGCATTTTAAGGAAAATCCTGTCAGTCTGTTTGTGCTCATCGTATCTTCCATCTTTTATTTTCATGTAAAAGAACCCTTGGAAATCATTTAGGCTTTTTCTTACTTTAGTGAATAACTTCATAAGAGTTGTGTCCATGGGTTGCTGTGCTGGCTGTTAGCTGCCATGCTAGAAATTTTTTTGTTGCTGGAAATTTGTTTAGTTGCAAATAAACACAGTTTCCCTCTGAAGTCTGTAATTTATGAGATCCAAGAAGTCCATTGTCATTTGCACAAGTTGCATACTGATGATAAGTGATGACTTTTAAAAAGAAAAAAGCTGACTAAGTCCTTCAAATATATGTTGCAATCTGGATGCTAATGAGAGGAATTCCAGGATCATCACATATCAAGCCCTAATGCGTCTCATCTCATTAGTTTGTTTCCATTTTAAAGCCAATCTATTTCTCATTTTAATCTGTATAGTACTGTTTAACTTGCCTTACCTTGCAGGGGAAGTCCACCAGCCAATGCAAAAAGTGAAGTTCTTGAGAGACAATGTGGTGGGATTCCTTTGAAGTTATGTCATGTAGATCATGGGCGTGTCAGCTTCTTTTCCTTCAAGAGGGTGGAGCTCCCCATTTTGCCCTGAATTTCTGAAAGGATGCGCTAGAGGCTTCTGCAGCAGATAACAGGATGCCAGAGCATAACTGAAGTTTAACAAGCCTTGCATGGGATTATGCCTCCTAAGGCTCGAAGATCTTTGACTTTTATGCAAATCATTCTCAGAGCTAAGGTTATACAGTACGCATGGCATGCAACTGTTGCTTCTGCTTCTTGTGGATGATATCATGTCTTCTGATGCTCTTTGATCTCTATTTCCTCGTCAACAAGAAGACAAGCCCAAACTGTAAAGTATACAGCCTAAGATCTTTTTGGCATCTGGATGCCAATGTGTTTGAGCTTCCCTGAACATGTGGATTTCAACTAGAAATTTGTCGTCACTAATGGAGCCACAATGATGGAAACTGACATCGCAAAAGAACACAGAATGAAACAGCCAGATGTGGAGATTGGTCAGTCAATGGAGATGGGAACCATAATACATTCTGGTGATTTAATGGGTTTTTTTCTCTCCAAAAAGTCAAGACAGCACATTCTGTCATTTTTATAAATTACTCAGAGTCTATATCCCATGTTGTTAGGAGATGCATATCAGTTTGGTTTTTTCAATATTATCTGCATCATTTGTCACTGATGCACCCTTTCTTGCAAGTCGATGGCAATCCATAGATATTAACCCAAGCTTCAACTGGATATGTTGTGGCAATCTCTGTTCCCATCTTTGAATGGCTAATCATGATGTTAAAGCTCTTCATGAAGCTGTTACAACATCAGAACAGTTCAATACAAGGAAGTTATACGTTTCTCATGACTACCTCCATTTTTGTTAGACAAGTATTGTTGCCGCTGGTCGCCCTTTCGAATTACCACCTGAAGAAATTTTACTGTAATTTTTGACAAATTATTCACACAGGGTGAGACGCTCCCACAAGATTTCTTTGTTTAGGATTTTTCTTATCTATAGGAGATTTTTGAAAATGATAGAGAGACAAACTTCAATAATCGGGGAAGCTAATTTAATAAGACCGTTAAGCATTTTATAAGGTTGTTTATACAGACAAAGACTAGCTTGTTGGATCGTGATATGCTGAGAATCGATCATAAATTTTTTAAAATGTTCCAATTGTGATCCCTTGGAAACTTAGAAGTTTTGAAAATAAAAAATAAAATTAACAGGAATTAAGTAAATGATAATGTGAAGGAGTCTGAATAAGTATGGAATGGAAAAAGGATTGAAGATGTAAACCCTAGACAAAAACTTTATTGAGTAACAGAAATAAACTCGATTTCAAAATAAAATAATAAAAATAAAATAAAGGGATGAGATATAAATTTAATTTTATTAATGGAAACCGCAACATTTGTTTTAAATGTTTAATTTAATTTTAATCATGTAATATATGTTGTTGATATGATGTAAATAGAGGGATGAGATATAAATAATTTATGGTATTTTCATGCACAAGATGGGTTTATGTGCTTAACTTTTTTATTTATTTATTTATGTGGGTGTCCGGACCAGTTTACGCGCATCACGACTAATCCCACGGTCCACTGGACATCCTACAAGCCTCAGTGAACAGGTTAGACACCGCAGGGGGGACAGGCG